TCTTTCTCCCTCTCCCTTCCTCTCTGAAATCAATAAAAATAAATAAAAGCTGTTGAGCAAAATATGTTACTGAAAAAAAAAAAAAAAAAAAAGACGCTTGGGGTAAAAGATGTTTTGATTATTTTGCGTGGCGCGTTTTGTCTTTCAAACACTAAAGGTGTAACATTCCGTTTTCTTTCACGTATGATAAACACAAATTTGATCAAATTGCAAAGGACTGGAGAGGAAAAATTAAACTAAAGCAAAGTCAATAAAAATGTTATCTTTATCACCTATTTGAATCATTAGAATAAGCAAACGCCAAAAGATAAAAAGATTTTCCACATAAATGTCAAGGACAAAGGTAAATTTTCCCTTACATTAACTAATGGTTATTTGGGTATTCTTAACATTCTCCAAGATATTACTATATTTTCTCTGTCAAATCCTTACTAATCTCAACTTGGGATTAATTTTCACATTCAGTATTAACTTAGGAATAAAGAATATTTTTTGAAAATTATCAGTGGACACGTTTTTTTACTCACATATCTAGTTTTAAGATGTAAAATTATTGTATGCTTATTGAAAATTACTTCTTCCTTTTACGACTTAAAAATAATTAAGTTACGGATGTCTCTATAGATGCTTTATTCTAGTTTTCCGTAAAATAAGTCATTTTTGTACGTTTGAAAACTCAGGAAAATGGGTAAAGCGACTAAAATCCATTAAGTAGCAACTAGAATATGGAATTCTATTTCGTTTTGGAAATATAGTTCTTTTAAGAATCCCAAGATCTGCAAATGCAAAATTCTAGGCCATTTCTAAAACGTGATCAGTATCATCAAAAGGAATGTACACTTAAGATCGTAAAGATAATTTCGATGATTCAACTCCTGATTTATCCTGGAGCACCATTTTATTGGAAAGTACTTAATGTCTTTCTGTTCTGATAGAAACTACATGTGTCAACTATTTCAATGTTAATACAAAAAAGCTTTGATATAAAGAAATGGCATTTGATGGGCTTTTTCTCATCTTTTCAAGATAAACAGTCTGCCGTTTGTTTCACTGACAAAATTTACTGATATTTTCCTACTCAAATTGTGGTAGGCACTAAATTTCAGATGGTGGGTAAAAACATTTACTTACTTGCTATATAAAATACAGACTTCTGCAAAGATTTCCTTTATCCTCAGATATAAAACTCCATGGTCTCTGTCTTCAAAATGGTTTCTTTTGGGGGAAAAAGAAATATTCTAAGCAATTTATTGATTTAACAACCAACAGCAAGTAGGGAGAAGTGTTTTAAAACTTTTTATTATATAAAAGAAACAAAAACTAAAATCTATGCTCACAAAAATTGATTTTTAAAATGTTCTTCACTAAAATCTATTAGTAGAAATAATAACTAGCTCAAATTTTCCAATAAATTTATTTATTTACATGTTTAAAAGATTAAAACTGTTTGCACAGTGTATTAGAGACCTAAAAAGAAAAAGTCTATCTTTGGTTCATAGTTTTCCTCAAAATATAATTAGTCTTTTTTTGTTCCCAAAATTAAACAAAGGCGTAAAGGACCTTTCAGTGTTTCAAACTATATACGGTTGAGTTACAACAGCTATGCATATATACTTTCTATCCCATGAAAAGATTTAAAAGCTTGGTAAAATTATTTCTGATATTTACTCATATTCATAATCACTACTTGCTGGAAATATAAATTCTCAAAAGAACAAAAACAAAACCTAATAAGCTTATTTTTATGTCAAAATAATAAAAATTTACCGTCTTACCTCAAATAAAAGAGCTGTATCTGTTCAGAACCATCATCAACCAAATTTTATTTTAATCTTGTAAGTTACCTTAAAAAAAAAAAAGGAAGATATCAATGTTTTGATTTTTAAACATTTCTTGGCCTAAGTTTCAGTATGATGAAACAATGAGAAGAAAATACTCAATAATCCATGGATAAATGTAAGAGACAGCTCATCACACACTACCTGTACATTTTAGGTCGCAGTTATTTCTTATCTTAACATCTATCAGTCTTTGCTTTCCTCACCTTTTGGTTGCATAGACTAATACTTGTGACTAAGGCATTGAAATAAAAAAATGCAGATGATTTACATCTTTGGACAGATTTAAGACTATGACCTTGTTTTTATCTTTCCTCTTTTGATGACAGGCAATACCAAAAAAAGGGGGGGGGGGGAGTTAACCATTTTCAAAGACTCAAATATTAACATTTCCCTTCCCATCGAAGAATGCCTTTAAAAATTATGAGTAATTGAAAATTTACTCTTCTAGGAGAAATTAGGGAAGTTTAAAATGGCCACTGGTTACTTTAAATTTTAAATTACAAGTTATTTGATCTCACCAAGTGGGATACTAGCTTTGTCTTTTAAGCAACTTTCAAAGATGTAGTAACTAGGACATTTATTCAATTTCAAACCAGGGTCTTTAACACTTACAGTCTCTCCCTGCCCCCATTACTCTTGTAAAAAGATCTGATGAGGTAGAAAACGCCAGCAATTATTTTGCATTTCTCTATTCAGAGGGATTCTGAGATACCAGATTCAGAATATTCATTTAAGACCACTTTCAGCATCCAAAAATTTCAAAAACGTCAACTTGCAAAAAACCAACAAAAACAAAACTGGTACCTAAACAACAGAGCCTGTAAAATCAAGATGTGCGCAACTGATGTAACATGTAGCACGAGATGCATGCTATTCGGAAATAAAACCATTTTACCGACAAAAATACCTTCCGAAATGCGGTCGATCACAGCAGTTATCTTTGAGCTTAGAAGGCCTGGGTAAACTTGAGTAATTTACCAACCGCCTTTTTAGGCAAAAATCTGCACTTTACAGCACCCATACCGCAGAATGGAGACAAACATATTCCAAAAGCACACAAAGGTTTTCTGCACTGGCGGTCTGCTGCGAACCGAAAACTTACATTCCCTCCCCAACGTTATTCCCAAATGCACAGGCGGAGGACTGCAGCATTCCTGAAACCGACACCTATTAAAAAATACTGTTCGTGCTAAGAACGTCTAGATGTTCCTGCAAGCAACAAATATGGCTCCTCTGCTCCGTCCATTTCCAGAGAGCAAGCCTATTTTAATATTTACCCTGCGAGAAAGTAACTCCAGAGGGAGATCTGGGGAGGGAGGCGAACAGCCCTTGGTAAAAGTTTTGTCGACCACGGCTTGGGACGATACGGATGATGATTATTTTTTTTAAAAAACCGTAAAATGGCGAACTGAAACTTTTAAAAGTCTAGGAGCAAGGCTCAAGTGCGTTCCAACATGCAGGTGCGATCAGTTTGCAGATAACGGCTCCTGTTGACCTTTTTTTTTTAAAAAAAAAAAAAAAGTACCGAAACGGGTGTATTTAATCCCCATCCAAATATCCAAAAGCCGAAGCAACTCGGCAAATGCCACTTATTATGAACCAGACGTCATCGCCCTGGCCCCAGCATTCAAATCTATTCCCATTAAACCGCCCTGACATGACAGTAAACTTGTCTTTCCCTTTTTTTTTTTTTGAAATGCCAGACGCACTCCTCCCTCCTCCTCCAACTTGCATTTTTTAAAAAGACAACCTTCACGTCATCAAGGTTTTCCAGGGGCGGCAAGTCCCTTCTCCCCGGTGATCCCCGCAGCCGTTTTCAACATCGGCTTTGAAAGAGTTAAGAGCCAACACCCAAAAGGGGAAAAGAAAAAAAAAAAAATAACAGGAAAAAAAAACAAGTTTTATTTTTTTTTCTTTCAACGTAGCCCGGCTTCCATTGTTCTTTTAAACTCGATCGCTCAAGATGAGTTCCCATCTTACCGGAAAGAGGTGGGGAAATAAAGCTCCCCCGTAGGAGAACCCGAAAAAAGGGTCCTTTTACCCCAAACATCAAAAGAACTCACCCACCGGAACGGAAAGGGGTTCCGCGGTCCTCGCTCGGTCCCCTCCGGGCTCCCGCCTGCGGGGACCCGCCGCCGCCGCCCCTTTCCCGGCGGGGCCCGGTCCGGGCAGCGAGGCCGCCCCCCGCCCACCGCAGGGTCTGCAACGGGGTCCCCGGCACCCCCGCACCCCCGGGCCCGGCGGCGCTGCCTGCTCGGGGGCCAGCCTCCGACGCCGGCAGGGTTTGCAGGCAGCCGGCCGCGAGGCCCAGCCCGCCACCCCCCTCCCCTCCTGCTCGCACGTTCAAGGACATTTCGCTTTTCCTCCCAAGGACAAAGGACAATAAAGGGGGCCGGGGAGCTACTTACCCGGTCCGGGCGCAGCCGCCGGCGCCTCGAGGTCGCCCGCACGCGATGCCCGCGCAGGGCCTGGCGCCCGCGCCGCGTCGAGCCGCCGGGACCCCGGGGAGCCTCCGCGGCCGCTGCCGCAGCGGCACTTGGGGCGTCGCGGGCCCCGGCCGTTCCGGGCGCCTCTGCCGCGGAGATCCGACCCCCCGGCGCTCGGCCGATCTCGTCTCGGCCGCGGCCGCTTCGCCCCCCGCGAGGCCTGCGGGCCGCCCGGGCGCAGCTCCCCGCCAGCCGGCGGGTCCCGCGGCCGCGGCGGAACGCCTGACAGCTCGGGGTGCTGCTGCCTCTCCGGCCATCTTGTGCCGTGTGTGTGTGGTGTCTCTCTCCCGTCTCCTCTCTCAGCTTTACTCCCTCCTCCTCCTCCCCCCGCCCCACACACCACACAACATGGCCTCTTCGCTGCGGCGGCGGCTGCGGCGGCGGCAGCAGCTCCGCGGCGTTGCTGCCTGCTCCCCGCCTCCCGCCCGCAGCCCCAGATCCCAGCGCGCACGCGCGCCGCCGCCCGCCCATCGCGGCCATTGGCTGAGCCCGCTTCCTGGCACGCCTCCCTTCTCCCCCGAGCGTCCTCACGCACGCTCGCAGGCGTCTCTCTTCCCCTTAACAACAACTGCCTCAATACGATTGGTGAGTTCTGACCCCGCCCCCTTCCACTTTCTCCACGCCGATAGGCTGGCCTTCGTGTCATTCACCTCCGTAGGGGTTTATGATTTTCTGAAGCGGCCGAGGCCCGCGATTGGCGGGTGAGGAAACCTTTGGTTGGAAACAGTTGCTCTGCGCCCCGCAGTGCGGACCCCTCAGGGTTGACTTGGGGGGGCTTCCTAGCGCGGTGTCCGGGCCAGAATTACTGGTACAGTGACCTGGAGATAAGGCCTTCGCCTCTGGAAAAAGCTCAGGACTCAGTGCTTCCGAATTCAGGTTTTTGCATTTTTTTTTTTTTTTAATGAAATGGAAAAATGACTGACATTTTGACGAGCAAACACGACGACGCAGGTTCCTAGCCCTCAGGCGAGCAGCCATATCTCCTCGGCGATAGATAGGCCTCGAGATTTTTCTCCTAAACAGCCAGGCCGTCGTCCCTCCGGGTCCCTTCTGACTGGAGATGCGGGAACCTGAGGGCGAGCGCGCTTCCGGTGGCCCATTCAGGGGAGCCCGCCTGCTGGTGTGTCCTGGGCCCCCCATCGTCCTCCTGGGCCCGAGGCCGCCCCGGAGAGTCCAGGGCGGTATTTGTTACCTGGGCGGTGGGGGCCTCAATGATCGCGGTCTGGTCTGCCCTAGAGTTTGTTTCCTTTAAGCACATCTCCCCTTTTTTCATTAATTCTTGGACCTGGAAGTGCCTCTAGGCCAGCGGTTCTCAACCTGTGGGTCGCGACCCCTTTGGCGGTCGAACGCCCCTTTCACAGGGGTCGCCTAAGCCCATCCTGCATAGCAGATATTTACGTGACGATTCGTCACAGGAGCAACATGACAGTTAGGAAATAACCACGAAAATAATGTTATGGTTGGGTCACAACATGGGGAACTGTATTTAAAGGGCCAGAAGGTTGAGAACCACTGCTCTAGGCAAACCACTGGAATAACTGAAAACCTACACTTTCCTCTGAATTCAATGGGAAAAGAAAAAGGGGGGGGGTCTCTCTCTCTCTCTCACCCACTGTTAGCATTTTCAGAAATCTTGCTCCTTCCGGCAAGGGACCTGGAGAAAAGGAAAGGCACCCCAGCTTTTGACAGATTTTTTTGGGGGGGAGGGGTCTTGAGGCTAGGGGCGTGGCTTCTTCAGTTCTCCCCAGACCCTAGACCTGGGTGAAAATCGGAGGATGTGGGATGCTCCCAGGGCCTAGGAACTAGCTCTGGCCCCTTCTTTTTATTTATTTACTTTATTGATGTCAGAGAGGAAGGGAGAGAGAGAAACATCCATGATGAGAGAGAATCTGGGATCAGCTGCCTCCTGCACGCTCCCTACTGGGGACCAGGCCGCAACCCCGGCAGGTGCCCTTGACGGGGAATCGAACCTGGGACCCATCAGTCCGCAGGCCGACGCTCTATCCACTGAGCCACAGCAGCTGGGGCCTGACCCCTTCTTTTTATTTATTTATTATTTTTTTTAATTTTTTTTTTTTTTTTTGGCCCCTTCTTTTTAAAAGGACACCGACTTGGCTCCATGGGGCACCGGCTGGTCAGGGCAGAGCGAGGACTGGGACCCACCGTTCCTGCCATAGATCTGAGGTTCCTTCTGTGTCCCCTGGCCGCCCTCCTTAGCAATATAACGGGTGCCCTCCGTGGGCGCACAAAAGGATGCGGCTTTCGCTGAAATGGAACTTTCTCCATTTCATGTCCAAGGGTCGTTCCCCGCTGACACCCTAGGGACCAGGCAGACCCAGCCAAGAGGCGGCTGTTCTCTGCAACAGCCCGACCCCGAGCCCTTCTTGCCTCCTTCTTCCCGGACGTGCGCTCGCTGTGCTATTCTTCACACCCCCACCCCCCACCCCCCACCCCACCACCTCACCACCCCACCACTACCTGACGTCCGTCTGTGATTCTGCCCTTTCAGGATTTACCTCCCAAGAACTTCCGTGTCAGCAAAACAGGCCTGGACAGGCCTTTTCTTCATTGCGGACCAGTCGTTTTCATGGCTAGCTTATCCCAGTGGCCAGATAAGTTCCTATTGAACGAGGACAAAAAACAAACACACACGTTTTATCATTTATAAACGTTAAAGGCACGCCTTGAAATTAAATACCCATTGCGTTTTGAAGTTATTTATGACATGTTCTTCCAAGCTCATATCTTTTGAAAGTAGGATATTTGGTGAAACACTGTGTAATATGGAATTCTCGTGATCCGTCCGCAATGTTCTAAGCCAGCCGTGGGCAAACTACGGCCCTCGGGCCGGATCCGGCCCGTTTGAAATGAATAAAACTAAAAAAAAAAAAAAAAAGACCGTACCCTTTTATGTAATGATGTTTACTTTGAATTTATATTAGTTCACACAAACACTCCATCCATGCTTTTGTTCCGGCCCTCCGGTCCAGTTTAAGAACCCATTGTGGCCCTCCAGTCAACAAGTTTGCCCACCCCTGTTCTAAGCCTTCGGTGGTAGAGAACTCAGTTGAGCACACAACACCCCGATGGGGGACTATTATTATTTCTGTGTATTATCTCTACCAGGAAACGGACACACAGGGGTCTAATTGGCCCAAGTTCACACTGCTGACAAGTATTGGAACCCGGATTGAGCCCAGGTAGTCGGGTTCAGACCCATTCCCTCCTGCCCTCCCAGGTTCTTTTCTTTTTTTTTTTAACATTTAAGGAACCATATTCTTTTTTTTGTTGTTTGTTTGTGTTGGGGTTGTTGTTTTTTTTTGAAATATACTTTTTTCATTGATTTCAGAGAACAAAGGAGAGAGAGAGAAACATCAATGATGAGAGAATCATTGACCGGCTGCCTCCTGCATGCCCCTTCCTCGGGGGAATGGGATCAAGCCCGTGCAACCTGGGCATGTGCCCTTGGCCCAAATCGAACCCTTTAGCCCAGTGGTCGGCAAACTCATTAGTCAACAGAGCCAAATATCAACAGGACAACGATTGAAATTTCTTTTGAGAGCCAAATTTTTTAAACTTAAGCTATATAGGTAGGTACATTGTTATTAACTTAATGAGGGTCCTCCTAAGGCTTAGGAAGAGCCACACTCAAGGGGCCAAAGAGCCGCATGTGGCTCGCAAGCCGCAGTTTGCCCACCACGGCTTTGGTCCATAGGCCGATGCTCTATCCACTGAGCCAAACCGGCTAGGGCCCAGTTTCTTGTTTTGAAGGCGGTCCCCGGTGCCAAATAGATTCAGTTGGATCTTCTGGTGTGTGGTGCTGCCTGATTTGCCAGCTCCTTCCTCGCCTATTTCTTTGAGGTCTTCCACCTTCAGCATTGGGCCTCCCTCCACTGGGCATTGTCAGACCCTTTCGAACTTAATTCCCAGCCCTGGGCCCCATCCTGTGGTTGTCAGTCTCCCGGCATGCCAACTGAGAACCATCTAGCTCTCTCTTGTTTTGTTCCTTCTTTGATTGTGAACCGTCACTCCAACGGTTCAGCTGTGGGGCGACACCCCCTTAATAAACATACACCTTGGTCGGCTTCCATAAAACATCTTCCTTCTCCAAAGCTTACACCCCCACACCCCTTCCCTCCTGAGAAGGCCCTTATCTGCTTCATTGAAACTATTCTCTATCGCACATGACAGCCATGACTTCTTTTGCCATATCTATTCCGTGTCTTTAGCCATCACTTTTTTTAAAAAAAAAAAATACATTTTTATTGATTTCAGAGAGGAAGGGAGAGGGAGAGAGAGACATCAAAGATGAGAAAGAATCATTGATGGGCTGCCTCCTGCACGCCTCCCATTGGGGGTGGAGCCCGCAACCCGGGCATGTGCCCTGACTGGGAATCGAACCGTGACCTCCTGGTTCATAGGTCGACACTCAACCACTGAGCCACACCGGCCGGGCTAGCCATCACGCCATCACTCTTTAAAGCTAGACTAGCTTTGTCCTAGATTAAAAGCACCTGACACCTGGCAGACCGCATGCTATGCCCTCCGCAGTTCCTTTTCGTGCTAAGTGATCTACCTGCCAGTGAACCGAGAGGAGATCCCTCCCTCCCCCAGTCCTGCTGGTTCCTATTACTGCTGCGTCTTTCCCGGTGAAAAACGCAGAGCAGCGCCCTCAGCCTTGGCTCGCTTAGTGGAAAAGCCGCTGCATGTGCTCTCAGTACTTCTGGCCCCGTGTCACTGTGTCCAAGAGAATATCTCTGGACGGATTCAAGGATCTGTTGACACTGATCATCTCCAAGGGGACCTCAGAGGGAGATGGAGAATAGCCGTGGGTCTAAGAGCACTTTTCACTCTACACCCCTTGGGGACTTTTTTTGAACTATGTCAGCGGTTCTCAACCTGTGGGTCGCGACCCCTTTGGCAGTCAAACGACCCTTTCACAGGGGTCGCCTAAGACCATCCTGCATATCAGATATTTACATGATGATTCATCACAGTAGCAACATGACAGTGATGAAGTAGCCACGAAAATAATTTTATGGTTGGGTCACAACATGAGGCACTGTATTTAAAGGGCCAGAAGGTTGAGAACCACTGAACTATGTGAATATATTACCTTTTTTTTTTTTTAATGAAAGAGAATAGAAAAGAAGTAAACTCAGATAATCTGCTGAACTGAAAGCTGACACTATTGGAAAGGAAAATGACACCCCCCAACACACACACACACACCACTTTGTAATCATCCCTGTCAGCTGCATTTTTCCCCTTTTAAGTTCTTTTTTTCTTGATGAAATAAAAGTCACACAACACTCAGTACCTCCAGGGATGTAACGGGGACCTGAAATGTCCCTGGTTGATGATAAGGATTCCTGGTATATAAAAGGCGGGGGGGAATAAAATGGGGGAGCAGCTTGCACTCCGATGTGACATGGCCTCACACACTGCAGACCAGGGCTTCCTGCAGTTCTCCCTGCTTCCCCGCAGCTACTGAGGCCTGTTCCCCCGTTTCTGCCCTCCTCTCCTCTGGTAGTAATTAAAGGAGGCGGAGAGAGATGCGGGTCTGCCTTTCTCCCCGGTTCCCTTCCTTTGTATCTACTTTTGCCTGGGGTGGCTCCTTTAGAGAGCCAACCCCGCTCATCACAGAGGCTCAGTGATGACCTTGACTCTGAGTCCCCGAGATGCAGTTTTCAAATACAGGTCTTTGCAGATTCCTGCAGCTCTCCTCCTGCTCTTTGCAGCTTCTCTTGCTGCTCAGACTCTAAGTGACTTACATACAGACTGCCTTATTTCTGCCTGCACCCTGCTCCTTCACGAGTGGCAATATCTCTTTCTTTTTCCCAGGGTGCACTGCAAACAGGATTGAAGCTCATTTGATGCTCAAAATATGATCTCCAAGCACAGTTATGGAGCTTCTTCCATGTACCAGGTACTGTTCTAGAAACTGGAGATACTGCATGGACTGGGGTATCTATTCTTATGGAGTTTACATTTTAAAAAAATATATATTATTATATATTATAATTATATATAATTATATAATATTATATATATATATATATATATATATATATATATATAAAATTGATTTCAGAGAGGAAGGGAGAGGGAGAGAGAGAGAAACATCAATGATGAGAGAGAATCATTGATCGGCTGCCTGGAGCTTACATTCTAATGGGGCAGGAATCCACAAATCAGAAAATACCAGGTATGACAAGTGATGATGATGGGAGCCTAATTTCAGTTGAATGGGCAGGGAAGGCCTCTCTGAGGAGGCGACATTTAAGTAGAAGCAGGAAGGACACAAAGGAGGCAGCTATGTGTATAGCCACACACAAGTTCCAAGAGAAGATGGCAGATGGCATGCATGCAACTCATTTTGCTCCGTTCCCAAACTGCACTAAACATAGATTTTCCTTCTTTTTTTTTTTACAAGTCATAAACTCAGAAGGAAATGTTAACTTAAATCCCTCTATAATTTGAAATTTGATTTTCTTAGAGTAGTGCTGAATAATCATTTTTGCATTATCCAAGCTTTTTAGTTCTTTTTTTTAAAATATATATATATATTTTTATTGATTTTAGAGAGGAAGGGAGAGGGGGAGAGAGAGAGAAACATCAATGATGAAAGAGAATCATCCATCCACTGCCTCCTGCATGCCCCACACTGGGGAATGAGCCCACAACCCAGGCATGTGCCCTGACCAGGAATTGAACTGTGACCACCTGGTTCATAGGTCGATGCTCAACCACTGAGTTATGCTGGCCAGGTCAAGCCTTTGAGTTCTAATGTAATCTTTAGGCATCTCAGGAAAATGCGCATTCTACATATACAGTCGTCATATAATTTTGGAGGTCCACAGACCCCATTCAAGGTAGAAGTACATTTTCTCTCATGTTTGGCCTTAGCATCTAAACTCAGATTTCCCTCTTGAAGCCATTCTGTTGTCCACTAGCCCACCTTTCGTTGGAAATGCTCTTTCCCTTTTACTCAGAAACTCTATAACCTTATTAAATTTCACAAGGAAATATAAGGGAACTTGTGCTTCCCAGCCAAGATGTGCTATCAGGAACTAGATTTGCATGTCCACACAAAACAAAGCAAAACAGACCAGATACAAGAAACAAGAGATTTTAAGACATTACATGTCAGGAGACAAAGGACCATGAAGCTTGAGTACAGGAAGCATGAGGTAAGCACTGCCGTTGCCCAGCTGACTTCCTGGAGTGTGTTTTCAGGCTTCAGTTCTGCAGGGAGGGGGCAAAGGGGTAACTTGGGCAAAGCCTGGCAGTCTCCCTGAATGGAGGAGATGGACCTGGGAGTCCAGAGAAGGCAAGGCGGCTGGAGATAGCAGGACAGAGTACCAAAAGGAGGAGAACATGAGCCATGGGAGGGAAGAAAGTGAAGATCTTGACTTCATAAATATTAACAAGTCTCTTCTTTGAAATTGTTAGGAAAATGAAAAAAGCCACAAATTGGGACAGAGCATTTGTAAATCACACATCTAACACAGGACTTGTACCAGAGTATGTAATGAATGCTGAACACTCAATAAACAACCCAATTTTTTTAATGGGCAAAAATTTCAGAGGCAGTTAGTTGACCAAGGAAAATATACAGATGGCAAATAAGCACATGAAAAGAGACTCAATATCATTACTCTCAAAAATAATTTTGCCTGAGTGAAAAAAGCCAGACAAAAGAGTACATAATTTATTATTCCGTTTATATGAAATTCTAGTAAATGCAAACTAATAGAAAAATGACTAATACTTTGGTGACCTGGGAATGGGAGAGAGGGTAGGGAGAGGGGGTAGTGATTTCAAAGGGCCTGAGGAAACTTTAAAAAGCAATAAATATGTCCATTATCTTTATTGTTCTATGGTTTCGCAGATGCAAATGTATGTCAAAACTTATCAAATTGTACACTGCACTCTAAGTATATAAAGCTTAGCGTGTCATGCCTAATAAGCCTGTTTCTTTAAAAATTGCACGAGTTTGCTTATTTGCTTATTTTGTGATGGAGCATCCTGTGATGATGGTAGTGCTCTTAAATCATTTGTTCCTAACTCATTTATTTTGTTCAGCACACTGGTATTTTATCCTCAGATTTTAAAAAAATGTAATCGTGAATATGATTCAAAATTCAAAGGGTATATAGTGAAAAACCCCTCACATCCCTCCAGCACCCCTCTCTGAAAGCAGTTAATATAACTAAGTTTTCCAAGTGCACTTCCAAAGACATTCCAGGTTTTATTACAAGAAACACACTACCAGGATGGATTTAGAGTGTGCTTCTATTTTATCTGTTGGCTGAAAGATTGCAGAATCAGGGCATGTTCATTATCAGACAGACAGATCCAGTCCTTTCAAAGCGATGTCATCAGGACACCCGCTCCCCTAAAATTCTGACCATCCATCTCCTGTTTCTCTCACACTGACTGCTCACCTCTTATGGCTCTTAGTACCAATGATCTCCAAGAGGATAGAAGCATTTCATACAAACTGTTGTTTTCTCTCCTTCAAACTGATTGCTTTCCCTTCCTTGGAATTTCTATGACTTAATGGCTATGCTATTCAGCGTTCAGTTGGCTCTTATCATAAGTTAATATTTGTCTGTTGGTATATGGATCACATGTCCCTAAGTAGACTCCATGTGGCTTGACTGGCGGTAGACACTTGGCCTTAGACTTTGTTCCTCACTCCGCAGTTATGGAGGCTCAAATAACAGCTGGTTAAAGATTTGCTGCATTAAAACTACCCACCAGGCCATCAAAATCCCCTCCAACTGTAAATCAAATCCCATTGAATAGATGAAAAGAACTTGCTATGGAATGAGCTTCAACATGATTTAGCCAAAGTAACTCATCACCACTGAATGTACTCTTAGTGTAAATACAGGTTTCTGTTTATTAGCGCTCCTTAAAAGTAGGACACACCCTGAATGTTGGTGGTCAAAAATAGATCTTGCCCCTGGCACTCCGATGGCATCTCTGGCATGCTGGCATGTTACGCAATAGTCCCTAACCAGCCAACCAGAAGTGTCTCCATCCTGAGAACTCCTTGGTATTTTAATTGAGTTCTTATCATCTTAGCAGTAGAATGATTCCTTTATGTGTTTTTTCTCCTTACTTGGCGTCCAGTGATGGCGAACCTTTTGAGCTTGGCGTGTCAGCATTTTGAAAAACCCTAACTTAACTCTGGTGCCGTGTCACATATAGAAATTTTTTGATCTTTGCAACCATAGTAAAACAAAGACTTATATTTTTGATATTTATTTTATATATTTAAATGCCATTTAACAAAGAAAAATCAACCAAAAGAATGAGTTCGCGTGTCATAGGTTCGCCATCACTGGTGTAGACACTAGGAAGACAGTGGGTAGAGGCAGTACAATCACAGCCAAAGCTCACCAGCCATGGCATCACCAGCTTTGGGTCCCAACCTGCACTTGGCCATTCCCTGGTTATCTGATCCCAGCCAGTTTCTGAACCTCCTCTAAAAAATCATGACTCTCACCTTTTCTGGTTTTCTCTGCTCTGAGATTCCTCCTTCATTCCTGATGGCCATAGTTGCCTTGGTTGCTTAGGTCAAAAAGATGGCAGGCGTTCTACTAGACTTGAAGACACCCTATGCCACACAATGGCGACAGCCTTTACTCAGGCCAACCTTCCCCCAAAGGAAGCTCACCTTGAGTTAGTTTCCTTATCTACATTTTGACTCCCTTTCAAAATGTGCCTGCTTTTGTTCCTTCCCCGCAAACATCGTGTGTTGTCTTTTGCATTGTGTGTATCATTAGCAGTTGTCTGTGGTGGGGCCAGTCTGTTCGGCACTTACTCTGCTGTGGTGGAGGTAGAACTCCCTCTCAGTTGAATCTTGAGCAGAGAATTAAAAAGACTGGGAAGTCCTGGCCAGTTTTGCACAGTGGACACAGCGTTGACCCCACAGACTGAAGGGTTCCAGGTTCGATTCCAGTCAAGGGCACGTACCTTGGTTGCAGGCCCCATCCCCTGTCCTGGTCGGGTTGCGTGCGGGAGGCAGCCGATCCATGTGTCTTTCTCACAACCATGTTTCTCCCTGTGTGTCTCTCCCCCTCCCTTCTACTCTCTCTAAACATCAATGGAAAAATATCCTTGGGTCAGGATTAACAACAACAAAAACAAAAAAAGAGTATGATCATGGAGCTTATTATATTATGTAAACTAAAGCGTAATACATAAAAGATGCTTCTAAGACTATGTTATTAAAAAAAAAAAACTGGGAAGAGCTGTGACTGATTTGTTGCAGAAATAATGTTCTCAGGAGATGGCTCAACCAATTCCCCAAGCCTCCGAGTTCTTGTCTTTTTGGAATCTGGCCCTTGAGATTTCCCTTTGATCACATGTGCTCCCTCATATTCTTTCAATAGGTCCCTTTTCTGATTTCTCACCAGAGCAGGTTCATGTGGTTTACAACTAAAGATGATGCTATCCTGCTCATCTGCACAATTAGACTTTGGACACATTGAGGGCAAGTGTTCTGTCCTTTTACCTTGATGTCCCAGCACCCCTCAGCCTTTCTACTTTCCTTTTCTGGCCACCAAGGCAGCTCCCTACCATGGGGGAGCACTGAGAATACAACACAAATAGGCGCTAACAACCTTGACCTTGAGAATCTGCCTCACAGTTGGGTGCAAGATTGGCATTTATGAAACGATCGTGGTTAATCCAAAGCAGAATATGATCAAGGATCTCACTGGGGCTAAATCAGTGGTCGGCAAACCGCGGCTCACAAGCCACATACAGCTCTTTGGCCCCTTGAGTGTGACTCTTCCACAAAATACCACGTGTGGGCGCGCACGTACAGTGCGATTGAATGAAAGGAGATAGACGAAACAAGTCTACAAGATGAGTGTGGATGGGAGAGTTGGAAGGGGTCGACCTCAGCGA